TAGACACAGAGCCCGCGGGAAACGTCAGAATGACTAGCCGAGGTAAGGCTGTTCCAGGCGGGGTACATGAGCGCTGTGCACCCGCTGATCCCTGGAACTCCGAAAAAGTCAGACCAAAATTTTAAATAGGCGCTATCTTTATAAACAAACCACAGATTTGAGCTTTAAACAACTATATTCTCGACTGAAAAACTCTTAAAACTACATTTCGTGACACGATAACACTAATATTTTTAAATTTCGCGGCCTTGAAAAACACTTCACCATACCGGCTTCCTTTATCTTCGGAGTTTCCACTCCCGAACAGCACCATAGCAACCATTCTCCCCCATTGGTTAGCTGTTCGAAACGTCACAACACTACAAGGATTCTGGGTAATATCCCACAGCAAAGTGAGGTCTGATGCGCACTTGCGAAAGGGGTGCATTAAGTGCCCTTATGATCACCCCTGGAGAACACTATTAGAGGATCGGGACACCCTACGGTCTTGCACCCCTTAGCGAGAACGCGCATTGAGGGGCACAAGGGCGCAAGTGCGGGTATTGGGACAGGGCCAAGATCGTTTTTATCAATCATTTTAAATCATTCATTCAAAGACGCTGATTCGTTCAGGAACGCCACTGCCACCTGTTTGTTCGGAGGGACATCATCTACTGTGGCTTTCCAAACAAATCTGGGCAAAGAAGACAAAGTAGGCCTAGCAGCTAACTGTCAAACTAACAAATATTGTGTCTATGACTCTATGTAGGCTATGTTACTTTATTTTAATTTTTTGTTTTTGAACTGATGTGTGAAAGAAAAATAGGTTAACACTCGCGATCTTGCTTTTTCAAAACGTCGATTCACTCAAGATCGAAAAACTAGCTGTGTCTCAAAGGATGTCTTATTTCAGAACAGTAACCTTTATCAAATTTACCGTTATTCCGAGTGAAGCGTAAATTGTTGTAATTTCTTAATGAATTTAAAATGTAGTGGTCAGTTTACTGAAATGAAGCAGCCTCAATGACGTATGCGGCCGACAAATGCAGCCTTCGAAATGAGATCCAGCTTTTATGAATCGTTCATTAGACTCGTCAGTTTCCCCACCTTTTATAGAATAAAACAAAATTAGAAAATTAGAACAATTGTTGACACAAGATCATCTTGAGTGAATTTTAATGAGAAATGTTCTCTTACTTTCAACTTTGGATTTATCATAGACTTTGAGCAAATTCAATTGTGAGTGTTCAACTCTAGATGGAGACACATGTGAGATGATTGGTGTTAATCCAGTCTCTCCAAGCTCTCCATTTAATCTCATTGTTGACCAGAAGGAAGAAATTACATATAAAAGAGATCTAATTTGTGATTTTCTGGGTCTCCCAATATGCTGTCTGTCTTCTTCTCTTTTTGTTTGTTTCACAAAAAAAAAAAAAAGTAACACTATTCATTTGCTGCCTTGCAAGCACTAGTAGACCTATTTCCTTTAGGAAAAGCAAATGGGGAAAAAATACTCTCCAACATGAGTGCTTATCTAAGCAAGCAAAAATTATATCTCAGAGGAAGACATCAACAGCAGCAATGCTATGAAGCCTTATTAAATGAAAACTACCCCTTTAGCCCTAGAATGGTATTATCACAGACTGACTCATGGCCATGTTAATGGACCTGTTGATAGGCCTATGTAAGTGCCCAATGCTCTTTCATGCAGTGCAATGACAGCATCTGCGGTGCATTAAGCTGTAAAAACATGCTGTGGTGAAACTCACCTCTGAGCAGCAGGGCAGAACCTCCTTTGACAGACTGCTATGGTGGATCTCACTTAGTATATTAAACAATGTCACAATCCAGATCAGTGTCATCCGGCATTTGCCTGTTTACAGAATGTTCTACACCGATAGTGTCATGACAGTTTTAGGATGATTGATATCAAAAGAAGGACATAAGTGATTATTTGACACTATTATATTTTAGAACATGATCAAGACCAAAAGGGTCAGTTTGACAGTTTAGCCCCTGCTGTTAGATGTGGGTTGATTTTGAAAAGCATCTGTCTCTATTGCAGCCATTTAAAAGCAGCCGTGCATTCTGGTGAAACTTGTTTTTTTTTTGGCAATAAAATATACAGAATAACAATCATTTTATATGTATGCTACCTTTAAAAAATGTGGGGTCAGTAAGATTTAAATGTTTTGGGGAAAAGCCTTTTATGCACACCAAAGCATTTATTTGATCAAAAATACAGTAAAAACAGTAATATCATGAAATATTATTGCAATATAAAATGACTTAATAATTATGCAACTATGACATTTTTTATGTAAATCCACTGTAGCAGTTTAGCGTTTATCAACATACACTACTGTTAAAAAGTTTAAGGCTGGTAAGATACTTTTTTTTTAAAGTTTTTGAAAGAAGCCTCACTACGGCTGCATTTATTTGTTAAAAAAATACAGTAAAAGCAGTCATATTGTGAAATATTATCACAATTTGCTTTATGTTGTAATATAATTTAGAATTTAATTTATTCCTGTGATGGTAAAGCTTATTTTATTAAAGCTTAATTTCTATCAATATATATATATATATTTCTTACTTACCCAAAACTTTCAACCAGTAGTATGTATTCATTCAATATTTTTATTATAGATGATTACCGATTCTTTTTTTTAAAGAAATGTAAATTTTTCATATTTGTCCTTGTCTTCTGCCTTTGATGTCACTGTTTGTTCCCATGTTCCAGAGTGATTAGTCATATGACATTTACGGCTCAGATGATTGGCTCAGAAAGTTATGCGGCCCCATGTGCAAAGATCTCCTTGAGCAAGGCAGCCACTGAAGTATGTTACGCTTTAAGGATATAGTGTCTTTATCAATGTGAAATATGTATGGAATAGTTTTAATTTATATGCTATGGATCGTTGATTAAATGCAATCATTACAAATGTGAGCAGAGTATATCTGACACAGAGAAATTATTTCCCCAAAAATGGATTTCCTATTGAAGACAGATATTCACCGGAGCGTTTAGCATTCCACTTCCACTCCTCGTTTCTCAGTAACGATGCCTATGTGTTTCCGTAATTACCATTCTTACTTATCTCTGCCCTGCTCTGTAAATGTAATTTCCCTCGTCGCAAATAAGATGGTTTTAATTCTCCTCCACTTCCACGAGTCTGTCTCTTTTTTTACTTAATTCTGAAAGAAGTGGCAGAATTTGAAGCTCTGCCAAAAATCTGAAGGACGGCAGACCTTGAGAAAGAGCGTGTGCCCGCATATTCTCTGCAATATTCATTGGGGAGTCTTATGACATTTCCTTTTTATTAGTCTCAATTATTGATATAAGCTGTGTTTAAAATTCTTTTCAAATTAACTTGCTGTAATGGATACATAATGGTGCTCTGAATAATTGCCTTTGCAAGAACTAATGAAGGAAGGAACTTGAGAACTTAGCCATCAAACACACAGTTAAACTCCAGAGGCTCTTTACATGAGGGTCTCCTTCACATTTAGCATGGGAGCAGGAGGTTGTAGATATCCTGTTGGTTTCTGCTATTAAAAATGGCATTACTGAAACATCCATTATAAGTCAATATCACCACAGGGAAGCCATGCAACTACAATTAAAGTGGCATCATTTGAACAAAATGTGTAGCAAAATAACTACTTCAATAAGGAACACGTGGAATTTAGTGTATTATTATATCCTAAGTAATTCATTTGTCTGCTTTATATTGAGAAGGTTTTTAAAAACAGTTTTTGAATTGTACTTTAAAAATGTTTAAATCCAAATTTTTTATATATTTTTTTTAGACAGTAGAAATGTACTGTTAATGAAAGGTCTGTTCTTAAAGAGATAAAAATAAAATTCTGTCATAATTTACTCACCTTCGTGTTGTTCAAAACTCATAAGACTTTGGTTAATCTTCAAAACACTTTAAGATATTTTTAATAACTGTTTCTGTCCCTCCATTGGTTAAAAATGTAGAAGATCCAAAAAGCTCAAAAAGGCAAAATCAATCCATATGAATTAAGTTGTTTTTCAGTGTAAAGATGTACATAAAAGCCTTCACTATAAAGTGATCGTATCTCTACACAAGACATGGATTAAACAGCTTGATTCATATGGATTCATTTTTACGATGCCTTACGATTACGATTTTTTTTTTTTTTTGTAACAAGGACTTTCAGTGGAGGGACAGATTTCATTCAAAATATCTTAATTTGTGTTTGGAAGATTAAACAAAGTCGTATGGGTTTGGAACGATATGAGCAGACTTTCATTTTTGAGTGAAGTATCCATTTAAACCATTTTAAGACCATTTTAGATATGATTAAAATACTATGATTCCTAAGACACATTACATTAGCATTACATTTTTTTCATCATTTACATAATCATATTTGCATTACAAAGAACTCTGGAAGAACATTTGATATCATTGTTAAATACAGTTCTTGTCTTGAAGGAATGAGGATGAGCTATGATTTCCAAAATTATGCTAATGCTCTGTCATATAACAGAGTCTATCAACCCTTGATGGTTTTTAGACTGTGCTTGGAACTAGTAAGCTGACAACTGAAGCTTCAATTTCACTGCAGGACAAAGTCTGCTGAATGCTACCTATTTGCATGATAATTATTAATGCAGTGAAACTGGACGCTTTACCCAGCACTTTGTCTTGCATTTAAATGCACATCTACAGTAAGCTTTTTTGAAATGTTCATATCTTGTTCTGGTAAAAAAAAAAATGCCTAAAGTGTTAGATTACATAATTTAAAGAGAAGACTAAAAAAAGTATATTCTTATATTTATGTTCACTTTCACTAGAGTTAATTAAGAATAAAATAAAAAATAAAACTCTTGTTGCATGTTATTTGCAGATTTGTGATGTTACAACAAACATATAGTAATATGTTGATTGGAACAGAACTTTAATTAAAAAACTGACATGAAAAGAACATAACCAAAATTTGGAATCATAAATGATGCTGACACCCAAAAAGAACAGAGCATTGACTTCAGTAATGAGCCTCTGCTGCTTTATTCATGTTTGCAAATTAAAATATAATAAATTAACATTTTTTTTCTCTAAAAATATACAAAAATACTGTAAAACTTTCCTAGAAAGCCTCAACACAGTAGTATTGCCATGTACCGCATACTATAGCACAGTGGTCTATCTATTTTGAAAACCGATGAAGATGAAACTCTTCTGCGTTGGGATATTTCCACATTCCCTTCCTTTACAACATTCCAGACTAAGACATTCAGGATCGGAATGTCTTTTCGATACACTGTACTCAATTAAGCATATAGAGTAACCGGTAAATGCGGACTCTCGCTCACATTCATATCACTTCAATAGATGTTTTTAGGCTCTGATATACACACAAGCATCATGGAGGCAACATAGGCCTGAGAAGATGTGGAAAGGGTGGAGAGAAGAACAACTTGAAGCATCTGCTCACAGTTCAGTGAATCTCTGAGCAGCACAGGGTTCTGGTAAATATGGCCAATAAAGTTTATAGTACAATGCTGATTGAGACAATTACACACTATTATCTACAATCATGTCACATAACCACCAACATTATTTAGAATATGCATTAACTGACATCTGATATCACTGGAGGTCTGAAGGAACAAAACATGTTTTTTTTTGTTGTTTTTTTTGCCTGCTACATTAATACTAAACAGACTTTCTTGGCTTTTTTTTGTGTTGCTTTTCTCACTCTCCAGCCCCTGTGTATGTGATGCATAGCATGACTCTTGGGTGTCCAAGCCATCCTCATGCAAAACAAATCCATTTCTGTTACATAATGGCATGAACCAGCTGATAAAAGTTTGCTCTTGAAAGATTCACTTCCACGGCTGTTGTGTTTTGTGGGTTTTTCGTTTTGGATTTCAGGGTTCCCACACTTTCTGACCACCGAATTTATATGATATTGCTCATGACTTCTCCAGTCATTTGCAATTTGAAGGATTGTTTTTTTAAAGATATAAAGATCACATTCATTTTTAGCCTAAGATTTACTTGAGGATAACCAGAGAAAAATTGATATTGACTACACAAATTTCCATGACTTTTTCAGGCCTGAAAATCACCCTTTTGAAATTCCCTGATATATCCAGGACTGTGGGAACCCTGTGATTTACGGATCCAAGAAAACACACCAGTAATACCTCATTAAAAAAAAAAAAAAAAAGCCAGAGAATGAACAAAAACGGGAAAAAGTCGTGAGATTAACAGCTCACTCGGCTGGGCTGTTGCTTACAAACAAAGTCTGTCATGAAATCGAACTCGTTCTGTCCCAGCCACAGCTCTGGCAGCTCCTTTATTCGGTCCAAGCCCATTTCTATCACCAGTGACATCAAGACCTCCTCGTCAATAAAATCCGTGTCGATAACGTTGGGGGGCAGCATTGCTGCAGGCATGTGGTGGCCAGGCAGAGGAACCCCAGACGCGTTCTGCTTAGCGTTACTGTCTCGGAACTGCTGTCCTGTCCCGTTTAACTGGTGGCTGGCGGGGTGCAGTTCGTGCATGTAATGGTGATGATGGGAAGGATGCGTGAGGTGACCGTAGTAAGGCGTGTTGAGCTTCTGCAACTGCATGCTGGCAGCGAGCTGCTGCCCTTGTCCGACAAACTGGGAGTTAAAGCGGGCAGGCAAGTTGCCATTGGGGATCCCTCCGTTTATGTTATTCCCAGAGGCCATGGAATGCCGGATCCCGTGGTTTGCGTTTACATTCCCTCCCGCGTAATGCATGTGATCTCCCATGATAACGTTATAGTGTTGTTGCTGTGGAAGCGCGTTGGAAAACTGTCCCATTCCCATCCTGCGCGCGGAGTGCTGATGCCCATTCACAGCATCTGGGAAACGTCCATGGTTCATTGCCATCATTCGGTCTACCATTCCCCTGGAAAACAGTTTGCAAAAGTTAACAGCCTATATAAAATTCGCGTGGCTAAAAATATAGTGCGATAAATCCGCAAACTCGCAAAGGGCATTATGATTTGGTTTGAAAACATTCAAGCGAAGCTTATTGGCAACATGCACGCGTAAACACACACGCGTCTGACCGTGTCATAAACATTCATAAGCAGGCTAAACTTTGTAACCTTTACCTCTCTGCTTGAATCTGCTGAGTGCGTCGCACCACCGCAGTCGGCAACAGCAAAAAGTAACTGACAATCCCAGAGATGAAAGAGTTTACAATCCCTCCTAATCCAAGTCAATAAAAAGCGTATGCTCTCCAAATACAGACCGCATTCAGCGCCAGCCGCCGCATCAAACACATAAAGAAAAAAACTGCTGCATGCTTCTCGGTCAGCACTCATATACAATCAAGCCATGGGCGGAGCAAAGCCAACCTTCAATCTGACTACACTCCAGCCTGTGGCAAGCCGTATTATCATGGAGTCTATTCATCCAAACTACTTAACTTTAAATATACCAGTTTTACTGTTCGGGGGTAGGCTAGTCCTTAAAAAAAAATGTTCCCCTCAATCTGTTGAATAATAAGATACTATTCCAGTATTCCTAGTAGCAATTAAATATGCCATTTTATTAGACACTGGTGTGTTACTAGTAATGTTTTAATATAATTTTTATTTGAAATAAAATTAGCCACTCTGACTTTTCACTAAATGTGACAAGTAAAAAGCAACTGAAAGTAGTTTAAGTAAAGTCTTACCCAGCAAACACGAAACGTTCCCCTTCCCCTAATGTTCCCATATGGTTCCCATTTTTTTTTTTTTTTTTTTGTGTGAACCAAATAAGAAAGTTCTAGGAACGTTCTCTATAGGTTATTTTTTTATATCCTAAAGAGAACCTTACCAGAATGTTCCCTGCAGTTTATTATTTTATAATGTAAAGAGAACCTTCCCAGAATGTTCCCTGCTGGTTATTTTTAGGTTTTATTTTTATAACCTAAAGAGAACCTTCCCAGAATGTTTCCTCTAGGAGTCTAGGTTCTTTTGATTTGATTTTCATAACCATGTAAACTAATTAAAACGTCGAAGATGTTTTTGTGTGATGACCAAGATTATTCTAATAATGGAATTCTTCATAAACATAAACTATATTTAGCAGAATTACATGTCTGAAGTTTATTTAAAGCTTTTATTAATTAGATCAGTCAAAACGCATTATAATTTTCAGACAGCTAAATATATTAAGCCAGTGTTAAGCGTAGTGTGACAAGAATACGTGGGTTTGTGTTTGTTTGTAGGCTATCTTTCTTTACAGCGTGCCTCGGATCTGCATGCGCTTCTCCAGCATGCTGTCTTCCACAGAAAGCCATGCATTAGCGTAATTTAAAATTGAGTCATTTCGTTTTACTGACTGACTATAACATTCGTTTATTGATCTCTTTATTGAATAATTAGTCATAATTAAGAGTAAATAGTGTGATTTCAGAGAGATTTGACAGGTCTAGCCTAATTGAAGACAACATGATGAAGTTTTTGTTTAGACCTACCGACCAAAAGAGAGAAGCACGTCTCTCTAATTCTGTGCAAGAAACGATGTAGTGTTATCCCAGTTAAAGTCACATAATTGTTATTCATTTTTAAATGTCTGTGAATAAAATTCATATTTTAAAAACCCTATATTGTGTTGAAGTCATTATTATTTGGCGCTTAGTTAGAAACATAAAATCTGGGTTATTTTGGTACAGTGTCAGTGATGCAAGTTACGAAATCATACATATTAATGCATACATTCAATCTTATTTAATCAAAACAAGACATGGTTTGAGGCCTACTGATTATTGATTGTTGTAGATTGCTGAAATTGCTGATTGTAGCCTGCCATATGAGACGTGGGAGTGCTGGACGATTACTGACCTACAGCATGGTAAATGATATCGGAGCAAAGACGTTGCAGGAGCCTACTGGAACTTGCTTGGAAGGTTAGGGGAATGTTCTCCAAAACAACAGGGAACATTCTAAAGAAAAGAAAACTTTCCGTGCTAACCGACAGAGAAGGTTAGGATGTTTGTTATGGGAACCAGAAACTAACATTCCCAGAACGTTCTGGGAACCAAAAATTGGTATCCTATGCCTAATAATTTATCTAGACACAAGTAGGCTAGTAGTTCTGAAACTGAATAAATTGAATAGATAGGCCTACGTTATATCTGATAAATAAGTAGCCTACTAGTAGTTATATCTAGTCTCTAATGAGTTAATAGTAAAATTGAAAAAAGAAAGGCTAGGCTTACTTTCTAATATTATCCTTATAGGCTAGTAGGCCTAATTAAAAGCATTGACTAGTAACTAAAAATACACTAGTACACTGTAAAAATGTTGATCAGCAATTTCTGAGTGAAAATGGTTTCTACAACGAAAAAATGTTTCAGTGTACTTTTGTATTAGAATGAATATTAAAACGGCTTGCCGCAAAAGTATGGATCTGGGCTCGTGCAAAACGTGGACCTGAAGCGCGCGACCAATCCCCTTCCGCGCGCATGGAGCAACACCGCTGCACACATTACCTCATTGCGGCTATATCTGTTCACGGCAAGAGTGAGCAAAACATGGAATCACGTTTCACTGGTTTTAAAGGTAGTTGTGCGTGCTCGATCCTCCATTAACACGATCAACTGATTGAGATAAACAGGGTTGGTGGCACTTTACACTCCCCGTGTTACACATAACATGACTTGTATCGAGTTTACCAATTACAAAGTTTAATAGGCTACTGCAAGTGAAATGACAATCAAATGAACATCATCTTCTTGGGGTGACACTGACAGTATAAGTTGAAATTCTCTAAAATAAAAAGGATAGGTACCTGACAAAAACTACGAAAGTATAAATGCATATAGCTAGCCTATAGCTAGCCTAATTTGATTGCAATCCTGTTATTATTTGTTAATTTTGTTGTGTGATCACACTGTAACTTGAACACTAATGTAAACTGTCAGTTTTGTACACAGTCAAACTTAAGTGCATAAAACAGGACAAATAAAAATGAGCAGCAATTAAATCCCAGGAGTGCTGATAAGACGAGTCTGTCTGCAGTGCTGCCAACTAATCTTCACGTTCTGCACGTCCAAACCAATTCTCCTGCTGATAGACAGCTGACAGTGGGTTTGATATCAAGAAATCATGTAAACAAACCAAAGCTTAAAGATGTGTAAACGTTATAATGTTCAATCATCTAACATAAATGCATAACAGTCTTAAAATCAATAATTGAAACAATGACATTTTTGAGCTGTTTACTTATCCGATCAGGAAGGCATATTTTCTTATCATTATGGGTTTGTAAGTTATTATTTGAGGAAATTAAGAATGATCTCATTGTGAGTCTTGATAGACCAGGTAGATGGAGTGGATAAGACATGTTCTGGAAAATAAACATGAAAAGAACACCTGCTTTAAATTCAACAGCCTGGTAACAATGCAAAAATTAATTGCGATCTTGTTTAGAGCTTCATACATCTCAACTCTAAATACAAGCCATTACAGTTCAATTATATTGTATATGTGTTTACAAGAAAGCTGCACCATTGGTTGCCATGTTCATTTGTTTAATGGGCCCATTAACAGTCATTAATTAACATTGTGTCCATATTTGCATGCATGTGTTTGAAAAGTTTTTCCTGAGCAAAGCATCCAGCATGTGATATGTGAACGTGAGCATTGTGCTATTTAGAAATGCAGATATTCCTTGCTTTTGGGTAAATTGTGCCTGTTAAAAATGACCCCCCCCCCCCCCCCCCCCCCCCTAATTTCAATATAGGAACTAAAATAATACAGTGTTTGAAGAGAGAAAAACCAGAAGTATGAAATTAAATATCTATATATAGACAAGCATAATCGAGAATCAGATTAATGGCTTATACTTCATTAATTTTGAGACACTCTCCTTATTCTGTAAAATGAGATCAAGTTATCATCTTTAGAGTTTGTATGCAGAAAGACCTGGACACATCCAAGTTTTCCTTCAGTTTTAGAGGCTGCTTAGACAATAGCATTCCAGAAGCCGTTTAATCCCAAAGTCATGCCTGAATCAGCCTCACTAGGGAAACTAACTAATGAGCTTTACACTCTCTAAGCCTTGTGTTCGAAACCTATTGCACATTTGTGTCGCAAGAAGACACTCATTGATTTGAGAGCTTTTGTTTTGAAAGCAAATGCAACATGCTCTGTTAATGTTTCAATAGACTTATTTTTCTGTTTGGTTTATTAGATCTAATTTATTGCCTTAGCCTTTTAACTGTCTTTATTAGATGTGGTGTAAAAATGATATTTTTTAATCTCTCTGCATTGTAACCTATAAAACCGTCAGGGACCATATGATTTTATTTTAGAGAACTGGGTTTATTATGGACAATAAATTGCAGGTAAATTGTTGCCCGTGCTATACTCCAAGTTTAAATTGAGGATCTTGAGGATATTTATTTCATAATAAAAATAAAAATGTTTAATGCATTTTCCACCCTTCAGTGGAGGGTGAACGTGATTTCAACAAGTGCAACATGTTCCAGGATCCTGGAACAACATTCCAATCCACCATTTAGATTTGAGGGACAAGTTTACAGTTTATGTTAGGCTCAACAAGGTGTTAGGTGCTTATACATCAGTGTTATTCGCTTATCATTTCCCACTGATTTTAGGGAAATGATAAGTTCTGATAAGGAAATGATAAGTTTTGGGTATAGTGTTAGGTTTAGGGGTATAGGGATAGGGGTAAGACAACATATTCAGATAGGAATGTTGTTCCAGGATCAACAAAATATGTTATAGCCTCACGTGAGACTATAAGCTAAGGGCAGTTTTACAGCACAAATATGAAGCTGGTAACCTCAAATACTTTCTCGCCCAAGAGGTAAAAATGTTTGGACCTGGTGCAGTGCATGCATGATACCTATAGTATTTACCCTTTTAAATTCTGGAACTGTCAATAACAGTCATGCTGAGTTAAACAACAACTGAAAACATAACAGCAGCACATGTAACAGTCGTGTGTTCCTTATCAGGATCCCTCTGAATCACTTTCTCTCTCTGTTGCTTTCAGTTCCTTGTGCATGTGAACAGCCATGCATGTCCAGTACAAGCATTTAACATCGGTTATCTTATGTTAAGTTTGTTGAGTAGCAGACAGCGCCAAACCTAAAATCTTTAACCTGACTTTCATTTCATTTTTGACCAATTTTAATAAATTTCCTTTTTACTTTTTTACGTAATCTGTTTATGTGAATATAAACACATTTAAATACATATAAAATGTGTAACATATGTCTTGATTAAATTCAACATTCTATATTAAACTCAAAAAAGACTTTTGAGCTGATTGCTAAATTTACTAAATTAAACTAACGCAGGA